ATGTCACCTCTTAACCTTTTCTTCTCCAGACTAACATACCAAGCTCCCTAAACTGCTCCTCATAGGGCATGGTTTTCAGACCTTTCACAATTTGATTATTGTTTAAATTGCTGCATTTAGTTACCGTCAAAAGATGTCATAGAAATGTTTTTATACAGAAAAAAAAATCTCATGTCCTCCTGTGCATCCATTGGTCATAAGTAAAGTTGCCAGGTCATAGCTATACCATTCCCTGAAACCTCAGGGCCAAAACTTGAAACTGGAATAAGAGTTTTGCAGTGTTACAGGGTGGTGCCCTAGGTTGTCAAAAAGATGAGACAGAGAAGGGTTGAGAGGGGCAGGACTTAAATTTTGGAAATCATTAAGATTGCTTCTTAGACTTAGATTGTAGAAAAGAGAATGAGGGAATCTAGGTAAATGGACCCATAATCTGGTACAACCTGGCTGACAAGTTAATATGCAAACCCAGAGTCAATAGGTGCACCCATTTTGTGATGGCTGAGCAACTGGCAAAATATGCCCGGCATCCCACACAGCCTTGTCTATAACACATATTGCATGTGAGGAGTTTTCTAATACATGACAGATGCTGTTGAGATTTATGGAAGGCATCACAGTATTGGAAGGTACCTGTGAATGTAGGAATCTGCATATAAAGTATCCCTGACAATCATCCAATTTCCTCTTAAAAACTTTCAACAAAGGACTGTTCACTAATTTCCAATATAATTGATTCCACTACTGAACAGATCTTACAATCTGAAAGTTCTTCCTAATGTTCACCACTACCACTATCATTCTGGCACTCTTAAAACAAGAAAAATAAACAACTGAAGTTCTACTCCACCACAGAGTCAGGATTAGAGGGAAAACTCATTTGTTGATCTCTGTTGGCACAAAGGTGTTAAGCAACAGGACTCCTTCCAGAAAATATTATCTCAATTTGGACATTACAACTGCCTGCCCATTTTCCTACATGCATTTTCGGAACCTAAGCTGGGAATAAAAGGAGTGAGGAAGGAGGCTCTGTGTGAGCTGAAACCTAAGTGTGCAAAGAAATGACTACTCCTGAATGCAGAGATGCAGACACTTGGATTTGAATGTATAACCTCTGCCGGTATTGGTGTGTCACTTGGCAAGGATGTGGAATAGGATGACCACATGTTCTACTTTATAGAGAAGAGTCCTCTATTGGAAGACATCCTTTATGTGAAGAGCTGTCCAGTATGAATCTGATTTAAAGATTTATTTATTTATTTTTAAAAGGAAAGAGGGCAGGGGTCTTTAATTTGGCAATTCATCATTAGCACCTGGGTAGCAGACAGACCAAGCACACACATCTCTTGGTCAGTGTAGGATGAGAGGTACTCTATTTCTGTTTCAAAGGTTGTAAAATCTATACACAAGAATGAATATACACATATTTTATGCAAATTTTTGTCTTCTTTTTGGCACTGGGTATTTCCCGCTAATATGGAAAGCAGTCATGCCAAACCTGTAACTGCTTGGTTAGGTTCATCTCACTCCTACACTGATGATGTTTCACAGCTCTTGTAGGAGGAAGACGGGGGTCTTTAGGAGCTGCTGGTTAAACAAGTTGCTTTTATCATGTATTTTAATGCTGCTTCTTGATGACATTATTTTAGCCCTCTGCTGCTACTTAACAGTTGGGGTTTTTAATGACTGCTTTATATGCTTTCTTTGGTATTTGTTTATATTTGATATTTTCATGTTTATCCTTTTGTTAGACAGCTTGGACACTTTAACTGGAAAGATGGGATAAAGTATCTTTAAAGGTAAAGGTATTCCCCATTGACAAGGTTGTCAAGTTGTGTCTAACCATAGGGGGTGGTGCTCATCTCCATTACTAAGCCAAAGAGCCAGTGTTGTCAGGGACTACTCTGTGATCATGTGGCCAGCATGACTGCACAGAACACTGTTTGCCTTCCCACCGAAGTGGTACCTATTTATCTACTTGCATTTGCATGCTTTTGAACTGCTAGGCAGAAGCTGGGACTAGTGACAGGATCTCACCCCATCATGCAGTGACCGGGTTCAAACTGCCAACCTGCCCATCTTGCAATCAACAGAGTCAGCATCTTAATCACTTGAGCCACTGTGTTCCCTTATTTATCATTAATTTTAATTTTAATTTAATTTAATTTAAATGTAAATATCTTTAATGATAAATAAATAAAATCTACTTTCTGTTTTATACATGCCACTTTTAAACCTCTGTCGCCCTTCTGGCTATGCCAAGAATAGCCTTTTCAAGGCTACAGCTGGGTGGGGCTTCCTCAAGAATACATCTTCCTGGAATGTCCAGTTTGTCATCCACTCTAATGCCCTTTCCCTACAGATATTGTTGTTGTGTGCCTTCAAGTTTCCATTTTATGGTGACCCTAAGGCGGATCTATCATGGGGTTTTCTTGGAAAGATTTGTTCAGAGGAGGTTTGCCATTGCCTTTCTCTGAGGATGAGAGCATGTGAGTTGCCCAAGGTCACCCACTGGGTTTCATAGCCGAGCTGGCACTCGAACCCTGTTTTCCAGAGTCATAGTCCAACACTCAAACCACTATGCCATACTGGCTCTCCCCTACAGATATATAAGGGGAATTGATTGTAGATAAAACCTCCTTCCACCTTCCAAAATAAATGACTGGACCATGGTCAGCCAGAGTGCTTCATGGCTATCTGAGAATCTGAAGGCAGCTTCCCCTAGTCTTAATCTGCCACTCTAATCCCTACCTTGCCCTTTCCCTCCCTTCCGTTCTCTGGGTGTACAAATCCAAGGATTTACTGTCTCTTCTCAGTAAAGCCACATCTCCATCCTCTTTCAAAATTATTCCCAAAGCCTATTTCTCTATCAGAACAGCTTCAGAAGAGCAGTGGTTTCATACTTTCCACATGTTCTTTGCTATAGATTTCCCCTTTTGTCTATTTTCTTTTCCGCTCTTTGTTGAGCTCCTATGGACAATTAACCTCTATGGGCAAAGACCATGGGCCAGCTCTCATGGAGGTGGCAAACCTGCATCTCAGCTGTACCACTTCAGGCTACAAGTGGCTCAGAGAGGTTTTGCTATCTAAAACAAAACAAAACACCACCCTTCCCTCTTAGAAATTAGAAGCCCAGGCTCTTTCCTCGGTTGTTAGTTCTGTGTGGAAGAATTTCAGGGAAGGGAAAACCATTTGATTGTATGTTCCTCCAGCTGCATTCTGAAACCCTAAGCTCCATTACAGGTTTATCATCTCATCATGAGAGCCAGGCTCGGGTTTTCCATTACACCTAGTCCATCGTTGGTAGGAAATTAATAGCAGATGCAATGAATATTTATTGTTGTTGTGTGCCTTGGTGTCCCATGCCTCCAACTTACGGCAACCTTAAGGCAACTCTATCACAGGGTTTTCTTGCCAAGTTTCTTTAGAGGGGGGTTGCCATTGCCATCGTTTGAGGCTAAGAGAATGTGACAATATTAGAACAGTTTTAAAGAATATATGGAAGGCATTATTATCGGGTGTTTTATTCTTGCCCAGAATATGTACTAAATATGTAATAAATTAAAAGATGTAAAGAAAAATTGCAATAGGCTCTTGTTCTCCTCTCAAAAATATTATAATCTGGTCTCTCTGTGCCTTTTCAAAGTCTGAAATGCTTATCATCTACAAGACACAGGGTTACCTATATAGTGATTTGCTGCCGGTGTTATGTACCTACAAGTTTTTTCTGACTAAGGCGAACCTATAATGGGTTTTCTTGGCAGGATTTGTTCAGAGGTTTGCTATTGCCTTCCCCTGAGGCTGAAAATATGTGACTTGCCCAAGGTCACCCAGTGGGTTTCATGGCTGAGTTGGGAATCGAACCCTGGTCTCCAGAGTCATAGTCCAAAACTCAAACCACTACGCCACACTGGTACCCTTACCTAATAATAATAATAATAATAATAATAATAATAATAATAATAATAATAATAATAATAATAATAATAATAATTTATTTATATAATGCCCTCCTATGAAAGATCCACCTTACACCAACATTAACTGTCAGAGAGTAACTAGGACTAAAATCAAGTTTCTTAGGTTATACCAACAAACTAAAGTCTTCTGCCCTTCGGCCACAAACTGTCATCTAAGGTGAAAACCAACCCAGCAAGGCAGGATGCAACCACGGCCTATGCATGCTCAGCCTGAGTCTGGGGAAACCTAATCCTACACTGTGTGCTCTTGAGACTCACATGACACTGTTATACCACAATTGCACTGTATTTGTCTCATCTTTGCCTGGAGCTTATCACACAATGGAGCTATGGGTGCTATACAATGCTGTTGGGTTGTTTGGAAAATTATTCTTTTTCCACTGGAAAAAAAATCTGTTAACAACTCCCTATGAACGTTTTCAGTATGAATTTCTCATTCCACTTTTGTTGTGATATTGGGAGGACAGTGGATGCATTGCCAGTGTGGGTTCAATGCTTCTCCCTTGGGGATTTTCTGGAGAGGTCAAGCAGGGTGGTGGCAGTAGCCTGGCGGCTTGACTGGGCAGTGCAGAGGCAGGTGGGTGGGGAGACTCCTCTTGCTAGCCACCTGTTTCTGTGCTGCCAGGCTCAGCCACCATGCTACCACCACTGCCAAAGAGCAACCTGGCAGCTTGACCAGGCAGCATCGAGGCATTGCAGGCAATATTAGGAACAGTTTTAAAGAACATATGGAAGGCATTATTATCAGGTTTTTTAGTCTTGCCCATAATATGTACTAAATAAATAAGAGATTCCTCTCGCCATCACCTTCTTTTGCATTGTCCATGGAATTGCTGGCCAGGTGAGACAGGAAGGAGACTCCCTTTCCCATCCAGCCAACAAAGCCACCAGATCCAGATACTTGGCACATGCTCCTGCTGTGCCACAGCTTTTCTGGGTTTGACAGAGCTGCTGATAGTGCAGAAGAGGAAGGAGATTCCTTTCCCTGCCCCACCAGCAAAGCGACCAGACCGGAAGGTAGGTATCCATTCCCACCAGTGTGCTAGTTGGCACCTTCTCCGAGGTGTCACCCATTGCAATCCACTACCCCTCACTCAGTGATGCCCTTATGACAGTTTGTATTATAAAGCACATGGGCAAAGGGGGCTTTTTATACTTTGCACCCAGGCAGCCATGTGTCATTTAATTAACCAGTCAGGAGACTAAAATCCTTGAATGATCTAGGTTAGGGGTGGGCAAAGTGTGACCCACAGGCCACATGCAGGTTCCCAGGGCTGTTTTGGGGGGCCTTTTTTGACCTTGTTTTGTTTGTTGTATGCCTTCAAGTTGTTTCCAACTTAGGATGGCCCTAAAGCAAACCTATCATGGGGTTTTCTTGGCAAGATTTGTTCAGAGGAGGTTTGCCATTGCCTTCCCTTGAGGCTGAGAGAGTGTGCCTTACCCAAGGTCACCCAGTGGGTTTACATGGCCGAGCCGAGAATTGAATCCTGGTCTCCAGAGTCACAGTCATACACTCAAACCACGGCATCATGTTGGCTCTCTTTTTAACCTGGTGGGTCACAAAAAAGGGGGTATGAAGGGCATTTCCACCATGTGTACACCCTATTGCCAGGTTAAAATGAAATTTTGCAAAATGTTTCAAAAAAACATTTCCCCTCAAAATGCCCTCTAGATGCCTCATCTCCCCTAGTTCCTTTAGTGGCAAAACAAATGTTGTTGGGCTCTTTGTTGTTGTTGTTTTGTTTTTTGCAGGACCAGATGTGGTGGTGTGGGTTGGCCCTACAAAGACTTCCACAGTTGCTCACCCCGATCTAAGACATGAATACAGGTAATACTTCCGAGACAGAATTGCTTTCACTCAGAACTCTCACCCTGACTTTGACTACCCTGATTGTCAGATAAAAGTGTTGATAATAATGAAATGAAAGGCTACAGAGTTGATCAAAATAATGATGAAACTACAGTCTGTGGTGTTATGATGAAAACAGAAGCTGTTTTGACTTCTGGAAATCTTTTTAACACATAGTAAACCAAAGGTGTTTCATTTGTGTAGGCATTATAAAATGTATATTTTCATATAGCTATATAAGTTTATATCTATAAGTTTCTATATTTTAAATTTTAAATTAGTATCTTTAATACCATTTTGACAGTTTTAGACTTTCAGTGATATGGTTTATATTTAGATTTTAAGTTATTTAGTCAACTGAATTTTTAATTTTAGGTACACACCTGATATCATCTGGTATGAAGGCACTCCACATGCATGTGTGCATGCACACGCACACACATATACACACACACTTTAAAAAGAAACAGCCAGTGGTGAGGGATCATGGGAGATGAAGTCCAGCTACATCTGGAGGACCACACTTTCCTAATGTGCACACTTTTTAAAACTTTATAGGAAAATTCTGTATCAAGCCAAGTGTAAACAAAACCAATGCTGAATCATGGGACTCAGGGTGCAAATCAGGACATTTGGAGAAGCACAGAAACAAGTGCACCCTGCAAATGTTGGTATGTACACCCACATTTGATTGCATTCACCTCTTCTTGCCAATTTCCTTCTTCTTGTTTAGAGTCCAGCTGTCTCACAGTTCCAGATGTTAAGGGACTACTGATACTGAAAGAGAAGATTCAGGACTTTAGTAAAGCCACTGAAGCAGAAATCCAAGAGCTCAGAACATTGGAGACTCCTAAAACTGAGGTGCTGGATCCAATGGAACTGAGGTGCCAGTGCCCCTTGAACAGCATACATATATTCATGGAGCTTGCAGAACTACCGAACTGGTATTCCCATGCAAGCCTATGTGCATCTTACATAAGCTTTTAGGGAGATGAGGGAATGCTAGTCTCAAGGCCATTTTATAAGGTGGGGGCACTGACTGTTATGTTGTCTTGGATGTCAAAGCATAAAAAGGCTCCACTTTGGGCTATTTACAGAGCAAGTTGCTCATTTAGAGTTCACCATGCCCCCATCCCCAGGACCAGAAAACGAAAACTCCCTTTGCTGTGTTTATACGCAAGCTATACATTCCTTGGAATAGAAAGCTGTTCTTTGTTTGTTTACGATCCATAAACATAGTTTTACGTGAATCCATATAAGCAACTGGACAACAATTATCTCATCAACTGGGAACATGAAGGAAAAAGCAAAAGAAGAAGAAGAACAGAATCACAGAGCTGGAAGGTACCACAAGGGCCATCTAGCTCAATCTCCCACCATACAGGAATTACAGCTAAGGATTCCCGCATGAGCCCTGTTCTCACAGCAGTCTCGTTTTTCTGGTGTGGAAATGGAAACTCTTTCCTCGTTTCAGTATTTTTTATCATTTTTTATTTTAACTCACTCAATTCTAGAGCTCTGCTGCAGTGGTCAGTAAAAAAAAAGTTTTTAAACGAAAGAAAAGAAATAAGGGGAAAGCTAATTGGGCTGTTTGGGAATAGCGAGGAAGAGGTGGGCCAGGAGGACAGGAGGAGACACTGAAACCACATGAATGGTAATAACACAACTGTCCCAGTAGTGACATTTTGCACCTGGGCATTTGTGCTATGGAGAGCTCATTTACAGGTTTCCCCTTCAATGAAAAGGGACACCCTAATTGTGGTTGGGGGCAACTGCATGCAATACGTATTGCCAAAGCTGCTTTTTTCCACATGTAATTGCAGTTTAAAAGCCGTATGTAGTGATCTCCTAAAGCAGGGGTAGGCAACCTAAGGCCCGGGGGCTGGATGCGGCCCCCCCGAGGCCTTTGGACCAGCCCCAGGCTGGTCCTTCCGCCGCCGCCGCCTGCCATGATGATATTGATTATTGTTGTTATTACTTGTTCTTGGGGGTTTCTTGGCAAAATCTCCACAGGGGTTTTGCCATAGCTTTTCTGGGGCTGGGAGAGTGTGCATGCATATTTTTTTTTAAAAAAATAAATTCTTTATTTTTATTTATTTATTTGTTTATTTATTTTTGGTGCTTTGGCCCCCCAATTGTCTGAGGGACAGCAACCCGGCCCCCGGCTCAAAAAGGTTGCCTACCCCTGTCCTAAAGCACTCCTAAAAGATGGACATCCAAATTTTGTTTAAAGAGTTCTTAAATAGGAGATTCCACCACCCTCTGAGGCAGTCTATTCCAGTGTTGAACAGCTCTTACAGTAAAATTGTTTTTCCTAGCATTTAGTTGGCATCTCTTTTGTTCTAAATCAATCTATTTATTCACATCTTAGTCTCTGGAGCAGCAGAGAACGTTATCTCCAGGGGGCCCTGCACAGCAAGAATACAGCTGTAGATATAGATATCTAGGTATATTGGGTAAAGTCTTCCCCACCCACACCTCCCTTTTCCATTATCAACAATAACAAGCATCCTCTTTGTCAGCAGATAGTGTTTAGCTGTAGCTTTCATAATCACAGGGCAGAAAAACAGATGCAAGATAATGCGGTGTGTGGTAAAATCAACATCAACATTTAGGAACTACATGCTAAAAACAGTAAAGCTTGAGCAGAATCAAAACATACATTCTATTAATATTTTAATTATGTGAAATAACAACCAGAACCTACACAAGCACTTTCTTGTTGCCCTTTCTGTACTCATTTACACTTTCTCCAAGGAAGGATACAGAAAAAAACCATCCTTCCTGCCTTTTCTCAATGGCACCACTCAGACTTTTCTCAACAGGCCCATCCTGGGCATCAATTTTATATTATTAGTGGATTGTAAATAGTTTGGACAATAATGCTTTTAAAACTCTCTGGAATCATAGAAATGGATGTAATGAGCCACTTAGAGACAACACTTGGGGAAGAACGCAGGAATCTAAAGGAGATACTGCTGTTTTTGTGACCTATAGATTCAGAAGGTTTGGCTTGCCTTAAACAGGAGGAAATTATAAGATTGAGAAGTCTCTCTCAGTGTAATGTCTTCTAGATGCATGAGACC